TTTGTCGCCCGAATGCCGCCACTCACAATCAGCCCGAGCACCCCCCCCCCCCCCCCCCAAAAGCCCGAGAACCTGAAAAAAAAGCCTCTAAACAGCAAAGCCCTAAAACTTCAACATTTGGTATGGGGGGGGGGGGGGTTTTAGGGTTTAGAGTTTAGGGTTTAGGGCTTAGAGTTTAGGGTTTAGGGCTTAGGGTTCGGGCCTCAGGTCCCAGAGCCTTAAGCCCTTCCCAGATCTTCCAAGGGTTTAGGGTTTAGGGCTTAGGGTTTAGGGCTTAGGGTTTAGGGTTTAGGGTTGAGGGTTTAGGGTTTAGGGAGATACATACCACAAAATAATTACCATGACTATCGCCGAAATAAGGTTCCTTGACTAAGCCTTTTTTGGAAGATCTCAATTCAGGCAGCGCCGCTGCGTGCGATCAGCGCCCTGACAAATGGGCTGAGGGGAGGTGCGCAAGGGGTTTATTTCGGGGTGCAGGGCTTGGGACTCTTGACGTTGCAGAATTTGGGATTTGGGGTTTAGGGGCTCGTCCGTGCAACTCCGTCTGAACTCAACAGCTGCATATCCGGCACGAACTTAACTCCAAGATTCCAAAAGCCCCCAAAAGGAACCCTACACCCTAAACCCTAAAACCCCTGGCACAACCCTGCACTCCATGGCAGCACTTGCACTTCATAGCCATTTCTTACCCCAAACTAAGCTCTTTACAGCTTCAAGAGCTCAAGGGTTTGAGGTTTGGGGCTGAAGGTTTCCGAGCTGAGGGTCCAGTGTATGGGTTTAGGGTTTAGGGTTTAGGGTTTAGGGTTTAGGGTTTAGGGTTTAGGGTTTAGGGTTTAGGGTTTAGGGTTTAGGGTTTAGGGTTTAGGGTTTAGGGTTTAGGGTTTAGGGTTTAGGGTGCAGGGTTCAGGGTTTAGGGTTTAGGGTTTAGGGTTTAGGGTGTAGGGTAAAGAGTTTAGGGGCTTAACATGGCTTAGACGATGTTCAGATTCTTGGAGTCCACGTGAAGAGCGATTGATGGGTGACCCCTCCTACAACCAGAGCGGGGAACGAGAAACACCCAAGCGAGGGGTGGTGATGCGGAGGGTTCAGGGTTTGGGGTGTAGGATTTTACGGTGGGCTTTCGGTTTGGAGTCTAAAACTCAGACTCCAAAGCCTTAAACCCTAAACCCTCCGACTGGCGCCCAACAATAAAAACCTCGCACTCTTGCTTTTCCTTCTCACAGGGCGGATGGGGCGTGGAGCCCCTCTTCTGTCGCCCCAGGCCAATAAAAGCGGCTACGAGCACTGCCTTAGTGGCGATTGGAGGCCCTAACCGAAACCCTGAATCCTAATAAACCCTAAACCTAAACCCTAAACCCTTGACCCCAAACCCTAAACCCCAAACCGGGGCCTTTGGGGCGTTCATCGGAACTCTGGAGCTCTTTTCGGGTTACAGCCACTCGTGGGGGCATTTCGCGCTGGTTGCAGAACAACCCTGAAGTTTGCGATGCACCGACGTCAGCAGGAGCTTTATCACCTGGAATACCAGAGACTACTCTTCTTGCTCAGGTAATTTGACGACTGGGGGCATGGTTGAGGGCTTTTGCCCCAAGCTGAAATCCTGCCCTCTTTTCTTAGCAGCCGAGGGGCCAACTTTGGTAGCGAGCAGGCGCGTCACCGCCACATACCTGCGAGAGGCGCGGCGTTCCAGAGCTGCAGAGCCCTACGTTCCACTGGCCCTGTGACTATGCGCAAGTACACCGGCACCCGTGCTGAAGCCACAGGCTTATCTAATTTATGCCTGTTGAGTTTCTGGTGTAATACGTTCTTTTGCAGTTTTTTGGGTACCAGACAAGGTCTAGATCAATCTCCATTTGAGCTCAAGCTACAGTTCTTCGTCAACTGCGGACTGCGGACGTAGGCTTCAGGACTTAGGGCTCAGGGCGTCTGAGGCCGCAGCGCGTTCCGAAGATGCCAGTCCTCACTGGAGACGGAGGCCATAAAAAGACGTGCGGATCCGCTTTTGAGCGTTTGTGCGGGCTTCGGAAAGAGTGCGGAGCATGCACGGACTTAGGTTTCAGGCTGAGCTTCACGGTTCAATTGCGGGCGCAGGGGCAAGAGTGCAAGCTTTCCGGCCTGTTATTGGCTTGTGAATTCCGAGAGTGTCTGATGTTGACCCCTTAGTCTTTTGCTTTGCGGAGGTCACGAAGCTTCCAGCTCCTACTGCCCTGGTCAACCAACCTTAAACAGCGAAGGAAGTTTGAAGCAACTTCCCGAAGCTCTTCGCCTTGAAGCCCTGAAATAGGGATTTTAGTACCCTCCATTATCATCTCTATTAAGGACTGTTAGTATAAGGGGGGAACATCCCAACCCTTGTGCCCTAAATCGAAGGCTTCCACCTTTAGGGTTGAGGGCTGAGGGTTCACCTGAAAACCTCTTTGCCTTCAGTCTTATGGGTTATACCTACTAATTAACGGTGGTTACTAAGCTGTAGGTCAATGGAGTCCCAGGCAGGCTTTGGGATTGAGAGTGAAGAGGTTCAGGCGGCGGCGGGTCCTCGCAAGTCTTGTTGAACTTGGACTTGTTCATCTCCAACCAAGACCACCTGGTCACTACGGAGTGTCTACAAGGTTCTGGGGTCAGGGTTCAGGGTTCAGGGTTTTGGTTTAGGGTTTAGGGTTTCGGGTTCAGGGTTTAGGGTTTAGGGTTCAATTAGGCTTTAGGCTACATCCTACACAGGCAGAGTGACCCCAAACTCTTGGGCACCGCGCTCAATGCCTAGACCCCAAACCAAGCCTAGCTACGGATCAAGCCCTGAATGGGGATTTATGTATGTAGATCCCCAAATAGTAGATTCCCCTTATAATAAGGCCCCCACTAAGGTACCCTAATTTCAGAAATGCCCCAAATCCCAAACAGAAGCAGAAAGGAGCCAAAAGACCACCGGACTGCTAAAAAAACCTGGCTGGATTGGGGATTCTAAACTTGGGTCCTTTTTCCGGAGAATCCGGGCTACGGTGGGATATCCATGAGATCCTACTTCAATCGCTAAAACCCGCCTAAACGATGTAGAACAACCCCCCCCGAAGCCCGAGAGGGGCTTGTATTCAGAGCCCAGCAGCTCGATCCAAGATGGAGGCCACGCATACCTCAAGTGAGGAGATCACCATTGCTTAGGGTTGAGGATTCTACGTGAAATCAACAAGGCAAGGCTTTCTGGGATCGGCTCTAGGGCTTAAGGTGTCCACCCTAAACCTAAGCCAAAGAACCTGCAAAAGCCCCAAACCCTGAACCCGCACAACCCTAAAATACACCGTCTCCTGTCAGAAGAGGTGCCAACACCTCAGGGCCTTGCCAGCTTGCTGCATCTCGCCCATCCTCTACAACTCCCGCTGTCTGCTTTTCCCGGGTTTGTGTAGGTTAGGTACTCAGGTGCTGAGGAGATCATTCACTCAAAACGGATGGTGATCCTTGGGCGTTGAGTGTCAGCATTAACGCAGGAACCCTAGAAGAGGAGAAAAGCACAAACTAGTTCACAAGGGTAGTGGGGTTCGGCCTTTGGAAGCCTTGATATTGGGTGGGATTTGCGGAGCTTTGGGGGGCTCAGGCCGGTTATCAAAGCATGGCAGCTGAATCACTTGTTTCGGGTTTAGGGTTTATGTAGGGTTTAGGGTTTAGGGGTTGGGGATTAGGGTTTAGGGTTTAGGGTTTAGGGGTTTAGGGTTTAGGGTTTAGGGTTGAGGGTTGAGGGTTGAGGGTTGAGGGTTTAGGGTTTAGGGTTTAGGGTTTAGAGTTTAGGGTTTAGGGTTTAGGGTTTAGGGTTTAGGGTTTAGGGTTTAGGGTTTAGGGTTTAGGGTTTAGGGTTTAGGTTCTAGGGGTTAGGGCGCATGGGGGTCTAGGTTTTCCTTGTCCGGCGTTGGTGGTGAGGGTTGAGGGGTGTGGGGATTTAGGATTCAGGATTGAGGGCTTTCAGGGGTCTCAGGATTGCTGCACGCGCGTCCTCTCCGTGTCCTGGAAGGCCAGCTGCTTCAGGTAGTCTACCAAGGAGGGCACCTGAAATTATGAGGTCTTATGGAAGGGGGAGCAAGGTCTAAGGATAGTTACATGGTCCCTTAGCATGGGCCCTTCAAAGGGTACCCCTTATACGACCCTTATATGCCCCATAGACATTAAGGCCCCCATACATCGGAACCCGTTGCAGTTAGGGACCATATTGAGGGCCCATGTAACTACCCTTAGACAAGGGGGAGACCCAAGGTGCCCTCTGACTCCTGTATTGCCTACTTCCCCAAGGTACGTCGCCCATTGGACCCCAAGGCTGACAGTCGATCCTCTGGACATATTGCTCATCCTGACTAGGCGTAGCTTCTTATAGGCTGGGTTTAGGGTTTAGGGTTTAGGATTTAGGGTTTAGGGCTTAGGGTTTAGGGTTTAGGGTGTTTAAGCTAGTCCTGGCTGGTGAACGAGGGCAATCGCACAGGGCTCCGGGCCCATCCCAGCAGAGCACGGTACCGAAGTATTTTGGCAAAGGCAACTTGCAGGACAACTGCGCCGTTTTTTGTTAGACGTGATCTTTGTAATGTGGGTAGTTCTCAAAAATAGGGTCCCTTTTGGGTTATTTGAAGGGTGCTATATAGGGTACCCTAAAAGTGACCCTAATTTTGAGAACTAATTACTACCCATGTGGTCTGGAGGTAGTAGTACTTCAGCATTTCTGCATGTAGCGACACACCGTGCCAGAAGGCCTCGGCTTCCTAGGCACTCAGAGCGGTGTCTCAAAAAGCGGCGCGGTCAAGGCAAACTATAAAGGTGTCGTCCGCGAATTCCGATCTACTCAGCGACGATGACGGTAAGAACTCCAATAAAGATTGTACGTGAATAAGAACAACCAAAGCCTCAACACCCTAAACCCTAAAACCTTGAAACCCTTAAATTCAAAAACCCTAAGCCACAAAGCCCCCAAAACCCAACACCCTAAACCCTAACACCCCCAAACCCAAAACCCTAACGCCCCAAAACCCTCACCCGCCGACCTGCGTCATGGGCCACTTGATCACCGCAGAAGGCAGGTCGACAAACTCGCCGAAGGGGGGCTCGTAGCGATCGTTCAGCAGGACCGGGATGCATCCTTTTCGGGGTTTAGGGGCTCAGGGCTTAGGGTTTCTTTAGGGTCTATTTACACAGGAAGGTTTAGGGTTTAGGGCTCTAGGGTATTATAGGGCTGCATGGACCTCTCGTGTTTACTTCTTTCGTGGCTTTAGGGCTTTAGGGGTTAGGGTTTAGAGGTTTGGGATTTGGGCGTAGGGTCAATCCAACGTTAACGATAGCGGGACTAAGTTAAACCCCCCCTCAACCCCCCACATTGGGCTAAAGGGGCTCAGGGTGTAGGGGTCAGAGCAAGAAAAAACCGCTACATTGATTCAAGGCTCCAGCAAAGAAGGTCTGGAAGAATCGTGAGGACCAGGCGCTCTTGCCACGAGGCACGAAGCAGAACCTGAGAAGGGAGGGCTTCCGAAACCGTTCAGGATTTTCAGGGTTTTACGGCCGAGGGCCAACGCAAAAGGTTGTTCACATACCCGAGATTTTCTGATGTGGCGGGGTTGGTCTAAACTACCAATTTAGGGTTCAGGATTACAAAACATGTGGCTTAGGGGACCAGAAAGGGCCCATCGTTTAGATCAACCCGAAAGCCTAAAACCTACATAGTACCCATAAGGTCAGCAGCTGCCCCCAAACCCAAACCCTAAACCCTAAACCCAAAACCCAAAAACTCCTCAATCCTAAGCCCCGTTTTCGCTGCCTCGGTGCTGCCAGGTGGCAAGGAGCTGGTCAAGCCCAGGAAGGACTCCACGTAGGGCACGTCCACATCCACGTGGAACAGAGGCTCCGTCTCCTAAACCCCAAGGAGCTTTGGGGTTTAATTAGGGCGTGGGGATGAGGGTTCAGGGTTTAGGGGTACTTTTGAGGGGTTTGTAGGGGTTTAGGGCTCAGGGCAAACCCTACAACTCAAGACCCTCAACCCCCCCCCCCCCTCCCTAAACTCTGAAACTTTAAAACCCCCCAACTCCTTGAGGGCCAAACCCCAAACCCCAAACCCCAAACCCAAACCCTGAACCCTAAACCCCAAACTCCTAAACCCTAAACCCTAAACCCTAAACCCTAACCCCCCCAACTCCTTGAGGGCCAGCAGTACGGAGCGGACGTTCAGGGAGCAGCTGCTGTCTTGGCAGGTCTCGGGCGGCAGCACCGAAGGGTGCGGAGGCCTGCCGTCATCTTTTTCGGCGAACATAGCTTAGGGTTTGGGGTTTGGGGTTTGGGGTTTGGGGTTTAGGGTTTAGGGTTTAGGGTTTAGGGTTTAGGGTTTAGGGTCGGTTTAGGGTTTAGGGTTTAGGGTTTAGGGTTTAGGGTTTAGGGTTTAGGGTTTAGGGTTTAGGGTTTAGGGTTTAGGGTTTAGGGTTTAGGGTTTAGGGTTTAGGGTTTAGGGTTTAGGGTTTAGGGTTTAGGTGTAGGGTTTAGGGTTTAGGGTTTAGGGTTTAGGGTTTAGGGTTTAGGGTTTAGGGTTTAGGGTTTAGGGTTTAGGGTTTAGGGTTTAGGGTTTAGGGTTTAGGGTTTAGGGTTTAGGGGTCCCTAGACCCGCCAGAAGGGAGGCCGCCTGGGCCAGCCGATGAAGTGGCCCAACTTGTCTCGCTCGTCCAGGGGCCGGGCCATCTTCCTCGGCTCTGTGGGGGCTTAGGGTTCAGGGTCCAGGGTCCAGGGTTTAGGGTTTAGGGTTTAGGGTTTAGGGTTTAGGGTTTAGGGTTTAGGGTTTAGGGTTTAGGGTTTAGGGTTTAGGGTTTAGGGTTGGGGGGTTGAGACATGTGGGGTTTAGGGGGCTTGGGGTTTGGAATTTCGGTGTTTAAAGTTTAGGGTCTTAGGGGATTAGGGGTTTAGCGGTTTAGAGTCTAGAGGTTAAAGCTTCGGGGTTGTAGGGTTGTAGGGTTGTATGGCTTGGAGTGCACAGAAGCTGCAGGGGGATGGAGGGTGCTAGAGGGACTCGCTTGGGCGGTCACCCGAACCCCATTGAAACCTCTTGCGCCCCCAGGTCTGCCTCTCTCTCCTTCTCGGGTTTAGCGTTGCGAGACCCTGCCACCTCCCAAAACTCATCAATCAAACTTTAGAGTGCCTTGTTTCCCAAAGCAATTCCTGCATGGAATTTCGGGTTTAGGGCACCCCTGGCACTTCACAACAAACAAAAAAGCCCTCTTCGAACCCTTCAGACTCTTCCTCCGCCGAAGCTCCCAAGGGCGATCATGTCATCCACGGTGAGGCGGCCCGGAACCAGGATGTCCTTGTAGCGCGTGAAGGAAGGCTCCACCACATCCTGCTCAGATTTTTTGGGGTTCAGGGGGGCCTCTTGTGGGTTTTAGGGCTTGGGTTTTTAGGGTTTAGGCTTCATACTCTTCAAAGACGAGCCGAAGCCCATGCCGCCGAGCCCTGTCCTTGTAGGGGTTCCAGAGCTCCGTCTCAGTCATCATGAAGATGGCATTGGGCACCCACTTCCTCATGCCAGAGCTTCGCCGCTTGGGATCAAAGGCTAGCAGTTAGGATTGAGTATGGCCGCTCCTGAACATGTCCTAAACTCCTTAGAGGCTTAGGACTTACTATGGACAGGGACCCTAAAGCGTGAACCCTAAACCCTGAACCCAAAAACCCTAAGCCCTAAACCCTAAGCCCGAATTAGCCTAAAACCCAGCTGATCCGTGTTTTTCGAGTCCTCCAGGTGGCGAACGGCCCATCGGCGCCCATGCCGGAGCCCCAAACAAAGAGATGGTTTTGTCCTAGGGGGGGCGAAGGGAGTTTGTGGATCAAGGATTTCGGTTCTTGTTTTAGGGCTTGGGGCTTGAAGGGTTTCGGGCTTAAGGATGTTGGGTGTGTAGACAAAGTTGCAGCCTTTAGGGATCTAGCCGATGGAGCGCCAGCCACTCACAACATCCCATGCCAGGCGTCCGCCCTCCATCTGGAGGTACGAGGTGGACGTGCTCAGGACCTGTGGGAGCAGTTTGGGGCAGAGAGTGCTAAACCCCCTAGACCCGAAATGCTGTCAACTAGGTGTGAGGGTTTGAGGGTTTGGGTAACAGATGGTAACAGGCAGGCTTGGGGTTCAGGGCTTGGGGTTGGTTGAGGCTTTCTAGTCTGGTGGGTTTGGATTTAGGAGTCGGGGCTTGTTGAGGGTTTAAGGATTTGAGTTGCGGGGTTTAGCCTTGAGACCTTCTTCCAAGGTTTAGGGTCCCTGAGGCCTGTAAACCCAGGCCGAGTAGGCTCGTGGGGCTGAGAGGGACCTTGGTCGGATCAAGAACCCTGCTAGTTCCAAGAGGGGTGGAGATGGGGAATCTCGGGTTAAAACCCTAAACCCTAAACCCTAAACCCTAAACCCTAAACCCTAAACCCTAAACCCTAAACCCTAAACCCTAAACCCTAAACCCTAAACCCTAACCCTAAACCCACACCCCAAAGGGGCACCTCTTCGAAAAGACGCGTGGTGGGTTCGCAGAGCTGCTTGGTGTCGCAGCCTGACAGAACAAGGAGAAAAAAGAGAGATTCGGGTTTGAGGTTTACAAGGTTCTAGATTTTCGAGGGTTTTGGGTTGTAGGTACATAGTAGCAACAAGACTTGAGACTCTGGCCACGAAAGCTAGACACCGGCCGGCTTTGTTCTGACGCAGCGGCGCGGTCTCGATCGCGTAGGGATTTGGGGGTGAGTGTGCTTGCTAGGAACATACCGTCACATACCTTTTGGGGTGTGGTACATGTCAACGCTTCAGAGGCTCAATGGGCTTCGGTGCTTCAGGCGCAGCGAGGGGCGGGGGGGGGTCTTGGGGTTTAAGATTTTGGGCTGCCAGTTTTAGGTTGTAGCTTGGGCTTCTTTAGACTACTTGACATTCCATCAGCGCTCCCAGCCCGTCTCAACCGACCACACCTTTGAAGGTATCGGCGTGGTTGATGAGGCAGGAGGTGTAGTGCGGCACGAAGAAGAAGTCCGCCTCCTGAGCAAGAGAGCTTTCAGGCTCTTAGTCAATCTCAGCAAGTCTGAGCGTTGAGGCCTTAGGGGGTAGGATAGGGTGCAGGGTCTTCAGTTTCAGACACTGTTCGGGGTACCACCGGCTCCCCAGCCAAGGGTGTAAACTACCAACTCATCAACACTCACGCTTGCTGTCACTATGTACTGTTTCTTTGGTCCAGACGCAGAAGCTCAAAGCGGACTAAGTTCAACTCAAAAAAGGGGGCACGTGCGCACAGCCGCTGCGGCCACAGCCGACCCTGGACGCCTGCACTCCAAGCCCTGGCCGTGCTCCCGAAGGGCACTGTGCTGAGCCGGTGCAAGCGCAGGCCGGTGGGGCTGCTGCAACACGTGAGAAAAGCGGTGCAACCAGGGCAGAAACGACCTTCTGAGTTCAGCACAAAGGCACCGACAAACTGGAACTGCAATCAAAAAACACCGGGGCCTCAATCCTCCATCGACTCCTCCTCCCTTCTTCGGCCTTTACGTCGTGCAAGCTCTGCCTTCAGCTTGGCTTCCAAGTCCTCCTCGCCAAGCTGGTTTGCTGCCCACGAAGACATCCGCAAACCTTGAATGTTCATGCTGGTGATTTCCTGAGAAGCCTGGGCGATGATGGGCGGAACCGCGCTCAGAGCACAAGGTGCGGCATCTTCGAGCTTTGCTATTGCCCACAGAATGTTGGACAGATCTTGTGGATTAAAGCTCTCCACCTTCTGTGATATTCGCTCCACGATGGCAGGAACAACTGTCAGGACAGCAGGCGCTGCTTCTTGCAGGTTCGCAGCTGCCCACAAGATGTTCGACAATTGCAGGGGAATCATGCTCTCCTCCTTCTGCGGTATGCTCTCCGCAATGGCAGGCACAGCCGTCAGGACAGCAGGGACTGCCTCTTGCAGATTTGCAGCCGCCCACAAGATGTTCGACAAGTGCTGAGGAATCATGCTCTCCACCTTTTGCGGTATGCGCTTGACGATGGCGGGCACGGCCATCAAGACAGCAGGGGCTGTCTTTTGCAATTTTGCAGCTGCCCAGATGATGTTCGACAAGTGCTGAGGAATCATGCCATCTGCCTTCTCCGGTATGCGCTCTGCAATCGCCAGAACAGCTGTCAAGGCAGTGGGGGCTACCTCTTGCAGCTTCGCTGCTGCCAACAGACTGTTGGACAACTCCTGAGGATTCATGCTCTCTGCCTTCTGTGGTATGCGCTCTGCGATGGAGGGCACAGCCATCAGGACAGCAGGCGCTGCCTTTTGCAGATTCGCCACAGCCCAAAAGCTGTTTGCAATCTCTTGAGGCTTCATGCTCTCGACCTTGTGCGGCACGACCTCCGCGATGACGGGTACGGCCACCAGGACAGCAGGCGCTGCCTCTTGCAGATTCGCAGATGCCCACAGGATGTTGGACACCCCTTGTGGATCAAAGTCCTTCACTTTCTGCAGTATGCACTCTGCAATTGCAGGCACAGCCGTCAGGACGGCAGGTGCTGCATCTCGCAGATACTCGGCTGCCCACAGACAGTTCGACAGGGCCTGCGGAACCATACTGGCCGCTTTCTGCGGTATGCGCTCTGCAATGACAGGCACTGCCATCAGGACCTCGGGCTCTGACTCATGCAAACTTGCGACAGCCCAGAGGCTGTTTGACAAGTCAAACTCGTTCATGTCTGCTGCCTTGTTCCGCACACAGCGCACAAGAGCTGGCACTGCACTCGCCACGTGCATGTTGATGTCTTGGTAGATCTCAACAAGGGCCCAGAGTACGTTGGCAACTGCACGTGGTGAGATCATGTCTGTCTTGAGCATCACCTGCAACCTGGCAGTGAGTCTGGGCCACACAGGGCTTCGGGCATCAATTGCAGACAGCCTGCGACTTCTCTTGAAAAAGGCCAAGCGAGTGAAGGTGGCTGACATGTGGAAGTCATTGAAGACCGCAGCGTCCACCTCCTTCTCCAAGAGCGACAGCAACTCCGCGGGCGAAGTCGAGTTTCTAAGCTTCGAGGTCAGAACCATGGGGTTGGTTCCATGGCTTGTGGGGTTCCGAGAAACTTTACGCCTCTCCCGTACCCTGCGAGAAATCGCGGGTCTTTTACCCCCCGGGCTTGTCGATGTAAGTGCAGAGTTGGTCGAAGGATGCTGCCAGACCACCCGGCGAACCCTGCAACCTCCAACAAAGTGGTGCCTCCTAAACGAAGCAGCGACAGCGAGAAAGCCAGCGGCACAAGCACCGACACTGCGACAGCGCGCTGCATGCGCGACACCGGCCTCGGCCCGCTTGGAGGCATCGCTGTTGGAAGGAGCCGGAACCCTGCTCTACGACGACAACGCGAGTGCTCTGCTGAGCAAGAGCGCCTGCAGACAGAGGGAAGCTTTCCAGAGACGTTCGGCCTTGCCCAACTTGCCATGGCTCGACGAGCCAGCAGCCGCAACTGAACATCAGAACCGTCAGGTCCAAAGCTCCAAGCCCTAAACCCTCACTGCCCGACATGCCTGCACCAGCATTTCTCCAAAAGCAAAGAACCACAACTAACACCCTAAAGGCCCTAAAGGCCCTAAAGGCCCTAAAGCCCCTAAAGCCCCTAAAGGCCCCAGGGGCTCCTTGGGATCGTCCGTCCGACAGGGGCAGGCCAGGAACCAGTCGTGCAACGCCACCTCCATGCCCCACTGGTTGTGCTTGCAGAAGGAGCCGCCCCGGGTCAGGGTCCTGGCATCTACGCGGTTTGAATTTTGGGCTTGGGATTTGGGGTGTAGGGTGTGGGGTTTACGGTTGGCTGCTTGTAGGGGCCTAAAAAACTTCGGGTTCAGGGTGCTGGGGGGTATGAGGGTCCTCTCTTGCAAAGAGTCTTGATTATGAAAGCCAGCAGCTAGCTATGAGGGAGACTCCTTTCTGGCTTCGGAGAAGTCGGTTTGCTGCCAGGCAACCCTAAGGCCTAAACTGCCTAAACCGCCAAACCCTCGCAACTGAAGCCCTTTCCAAGACAAGAGAAACCAAAAGGCATCGGAGACTGCTGCCCTCGCATGCCCTGATCCACTACAAGCAATCATGTGGCTCTGGCTCCTGTTTTCTTGATGCACCTCAAACACAGGAAACCTCTACACGGAGTCCACTCTTCTTACCCCGCGTCCTCAAGCCTGGAATGGTGTCCGGGTCGTAGACCTGGCATACACAGAGCTCCGGCTTCGAGCAACGCAAGAGCGTCTGGAGATCAAGGCTTGGGATCTGTTGCGGAAGGTCAAAAGTCTAAGGAGGGGGACTATGGGAGTCATAGTTTTGTAATTCATCTCCGAAGCAACACGAGGCGACCTAGTCCCTGGAGCCCTCCCCATGCTGGCCCGAAACCCGAAACTGCTGTTCACTGCATCGCTATCTCCTATCATCTCCCCAGCTCCCATCACATCCCTTGCCTTCCCCACAGCCCCCGCCAAGCTTCAGACTTTTGGGTTTAGGGTTCAGGGTTGAACACCAAACTCCCAAACCAACATGTCAAGTCCAGGCCCCAAGCAATCCTCTTGCCACAGCGGCGATTTACAGCTTGGGGACTTTGGGTCATGCGCCTGAAGACAACCCAACAACAACGGTAACATCCCGAAACCCTAAATGGTCAGCCCTAACCCGAGACCTCAAACCCTAACCCCAAACTCTAAACCCCAGAGCCCCCCCCAACCCCCAAGTAGCTACAAGATTGAGCCATAAGCACCTAAACAGGACCCTAAATGGGGTCCATCCTTCTTAAAAAAAACCCACTTAGTACACATTTGCCCAGTGCCCCCCAAACCCTGAACCCTGAACCCTAAACCCTAAACCCTAAACGCCAAACTCTAGACCCCCCCTAATTAAGCCCTAAACCCCAGAAACCCTAGACCCCAAACCCTAAACCCTAAACCCTAAACCCCAAACCCTAAATCCTAAACCTCAATCCCAAAACCCTCGGGAAAGGACCACAAAACGTGCCGGGGGCGGCGAAGACCCGGAAGCTGGGCCGCGGGGCTCCCGTCATGGCGGCGCCGAAGGGCTCCTGGCACTTGGCCGTTTTGCTTGTTGTCTTTTCACTTTTTTGGGGGGGGGTAAAGGGTTTAGGGTTTAGGGTTTAGGGTTTTAGGGTTTTAGGGTTTTAGGGTTTTAGGGTTTTAGGGTTTTAGGGTTTTAGGGTTTTAGGGTTTTAGGGTTTAGGGTTTAGGGTTTAGGGTTTAGGGTTTAGGGTTTAGGGTTTAGGGTTTAGGGTTTAGGGTTTAAGGTTTAGGGTTTCATGTTTAGGGTGCGGGGGTTGGCTTGTCATTCTTTTGGGGGCCCACGTGGTCTGGATCCAGGAGGCTTGTGGGTTTAGCTGGCAGTTTGGTCACGAGTACCTCAAAGACTGAGTGCAAGCGACAACACCCTGAGAGCCCCCCTCTTGCAACCTAGACCCCCAAAAACAGCCCTTTTGCAACCTAGAACACCAAAAACAACCCTTTTGCAACCTAGAACCCAAAGAATGAGCCCCCTGTTCCAACCCTCAAGCCCCCTCAAAAAGAGCCCCCCTTTTGACCCTAAACCCCAAACCCTAAAACCCCCCCTAGAAGCCCTCCTCCAGCCGGCTGCCAGGCTGGGGCCTGGATGCTGAGGGTTTGAGGGTGGAGGGCGCGTAGGGGGGGGGGGGGGGAAGGGGGGGTGGGGGGGCGCTTTAGAAAAGGTGAGGTGGGAGTCCCTCAAACAAACACTAAAACCTCAACCCTGAACCTCGACCCCGAAAACCTTCAAGTCTAAAAATGTTTGCCCTGTACTACATGCTGTCATCAACTTTTTGAGGCCCAAAACCCCGGAATCACCAAAACCCTAATTAAACCACGAACGCTAGGCCCTAAACCCTACCCCTAAACCCTAAACCCTAAACCCTAAACCCTAAACCCTAAACCCTAAACCCTAAACCCTAAACCCTAAACCCTAAACCCTAAACCCTAAACCCTAAACCCTAAACCCTAAACCCTAAACCCTAAACCCTAAACCCTAAACCCTAAACCCTAAACCCTAAACCCTAAACCCTAAACCCTAAACCCTAAACTAAACAGCTGCGTACAAGATGCCCAGCACCGCCCGGCCGCCAGGCTCCCCAGACCTTCCGACTCAGAGGTTCATGGATTTTGGTAGGGTTTAGGGTTTAGGGTTTAGGGTTTAGGGTTTAGGGTTTGGGGTTTGGGGTTTGGGGTTTGGGGTTTGGGGTTTGGGGTTTGGGGTTTGGGGTTTGGGGTTTGGGGTTTAGGGTTTGGGGCTTAGGGTTAGGGTTTAGAGTGTAGGGTTTCTAGAGACTACAGTAGGGTTGTTCGGGTTGTTGTTAGGGCTGTTCTAGGTTCTACGGGATTTTTAGGGATCAGAGGGCTTAGGGTCCATAGGCTTCATGGGGCTGAGGGCTATTTAAGATTTAGAGGGCTCATGAGGTTTATAGGGGCTTACAGTGGCTAAGGGATATAGGGTTTACGGTAAGGTTTAGGGCTTTGGGGTGTAGTGTTTGGCATCTAGGGTTTAGCTCAGGTCTTGGAGGCTTTTTTGTAACGGCTTTGGAGGGCTAGTGCTTTGAAGGGCTTTGAATTTTGAGCTTTTCTTGCGATTGTTTGGGGTTTCAGGCTTTTGGGATCTAGGACTTCAGTTCTTAGCGTCTGCGGTCTTAGGGTTCCCCTGCAGCCCGGAAACCGCCACAAACCTGACGCCCCCAAAGCCCATAGCCCTAGAGTCCTGAACCCGAAACATGTTTGATCTCTACAACCCTGAGGGCCCGAAAGCCGCCTAAACCCGTTAAAGCTCTACAAGCCCCACAAGCCTTGAAGCTTTCGAAGACCCTACACCCTAAACCCTAAGCCTTGAAGCTTTCGAAGCCTTGCAGCGTTACACTGAAGGTTATTGGGACCAGATCGGACCCAGCCTTGGCCCAGTCCTCGTCATGAAGGCCGAAGGCACCTGGGGTTAGGGTTCATAAGGTTCATGAGGGTTCATAGGGGTTCATAGGTGGTTCATATGGGTTCAAAGGGGTTCATAGAGGTTCATAGGGTTCACATGATTCACAGGCGGTTCATGGGGCTCGTAGGTTCACAGGGGTTCATAGGGGTTCATAGGGTTCATAGGGGTTCATAGGGTTAACAGGTGGTGCACAGGGTTCATGGGGTTCATAGGGTTTACGAGGTTTATGGGGCTTATGGGGTTTATGGGCTTCATATTCTCAAGACCCCTTAAATCTTGAACCCTAAAGCCCTACGCTAACTTGACACACCCATAGCTAAGAAGCCTTCAAGCCCCAAACCCCCAACCCCCGAACCCTCGGTTCCCTAGTAACCCAGGACAGAAAATGGGCTTAGGGCTAAGGGCTGAGGACGTAGAAGGGTTCTGAACACCAACAAGAGCAAGGGAACCCAGAACCACAGCTCACACCCGAAACTGAACCCGAAACCCTAAACCCTAAACCCTAAACCCCCAAAGCAGTGCCCGGGCGGCTCTTGAAGCGGCGCCGTCGGTTGGGGCCGCCATGGCCTCCGCCGACAGATGCGCGGAGGAGGGCCCGCCTGCAGGTTTAGGGTTTAGGGTTTAGGGTTTAGGGTTTAGGGTTTAGGGTTTAGGGTTTAGGGTTTAGGGTTTAGGGTTTAGGGTTTAGGTTTTAGGGTTTAGGGTTTAGGGTTTAGGGTTTCGGGTTAGGGTTTAGGGTTTACGGTTTAGGGTTGAGGGCTTAGGGTTTAGGGTTTAGGGTTTCGGGTTCAGGGCTTAGGGTTTGGGGATTTGAGGTCTGGGGGGGTTAGGGGTTAGGGGTGTGGGGTTGAGGGTTTTGAAGTTTGTGAGTTTGCGTGTCTGTAAATCTGTGGATTTGGGGGTTGGGGGTTGGGGGCTTGGGGGGTTTGGGGTTTGGGGCTTTGGGGGCTTTGGGGGCTTTGGGGGCTTTGGAGGCTTTGGAGGCTTTGGGGATTTAGGGATGTTTGGGGCCCAGGTATGAGGATTTGGGCAAAAAAACTGGTTCTGGGGTTCAGGAGAACTCGTCGCACCCTGAAGCCCTGAACCCTGAACCCCTAAACCCTAAACCCTAAACCCTAAACCCTAAACACTACACCCCTAAGGCAAGGAGGCCTCATGCTGTCCATCAAATCCGCGGTGATCGGCCACGTCTTGCCTGGGTTGCTGCAACGCAAATCCCCAAACTTGTCACGCTAGTCACCCTACACCCTAAACCCCCCCCCCACTCCCCCCACCCTGAAATCCCAGTGTCAAAACATCTTGAGCCTATAATCACTGCGGATTCACAACTCCACCCTGAGGCCTTATTCAAGACAGACGTAAGCTACTAGTAGCATGGGCCATAAACTCTAAACCCCCAAAAAACGCTACGAGGTTGAGGGCTTCAGGGTCTCCCTCCACGAAAGAACCCACCAGAATTCGATGGCCCCCACCAATGCCTAAAGCCCGAAAACCAACCCAAAAAAACAACCTAAAGCCTAAAGCCCCAAAGCCCTAAATCTCTAAACCCCAAACCCTTTCCTTCCCTTGGGCTTCCCACTTGCCCCCTTCTGTTGGAAGCCAGGGCTCCGTAGCCCGCCGCCTTGTCGAAAAGGTCGGGGTGGAGAGCACCTGCGCGGAGGCGGGCTCGGGTGGGGGTGTGGGGTTAGCGGGTCCGGGGAGGGGGGGGGTGGGGGCGGTTTAGGGCTTGGGTTCAGGGCTTGAGGGTTTAGGGGTTTCGGGTGTTAGGGCACAGGGTTTAGGGTGGAGGGCTTGGCATTGAGCATTCGGTTGTAGGACTTTGAGTACGGAGTCTGCATGTTGTCCAGAGCACCTGAATGCTCGTCCATCATCCGGAAGGCTTCTGCCGCCGCCTCCACACCTCAAGGAGCAAACAGCTTAGGCTTTCAGGATTTGAGGTAAGCCCTTCGTCTGAAGAAGCACGATGTCAAAATCAAGTATAAACCCTAAACCCTAAACCCGAAACCCGAAACCCGAAGCCCCAAACCCCCAAGTCTGAGCAACCGACTGCCCACTTCGAAGAGGAGCATGTGCGCGAAGTAGTATTGCATGCACACCAGCCCGAGCAAACAGATCTTTGACTGCTCGTCGACTTTGGTGACGTTCTCCTTAGGATTGGCAGCATGACATGGATGCTTAGGGTTTAGGGTTTAGGGTTTAGGGTATAGGGTATAGGGTATAGGGTTTAGGGTTTAGGGTTTAGGGTTTAGGGTTTAGGGTTTAGGGTTCCAGGGAACCTAAGCCTCCAAAGCCATAGATTCGACACACCAAGGGGGTGGAGGGTTTGGGGTTTAGGGCTGCATGCATACGCCTTTCAACTCCCCAGAATTCCCAAACCCCCGAAAGCCTGAACCCTAAACCCTGAACCCTCAACCCTAAACCCTAAACCCTAAACCCTAAACCCTAAACCCTAAGACCCAAATCCTACCCACTGCCGCCCGGCGGCTAATCCCCACTCCTGGGATGCGACGACTTTGCAGCTTCTGGTTTGTTGAGGGTTTAGGGTTTAGGGTTTAGGTGGTTTTGTGGTTTAGGGTTTAGGGTTTAGGGTTTAGGGTTTAGGGTTTAGGGTTTAGGGTTTAGGGTTTAGGGTTTAGGGTTTAGGGTTTAGGGTTTACTGGAAATAGAAGCCCCAGTTCATGTGATCGCCGTGTTTTAGTCCAGAGTTCTTATGGAAGCTAAGTGTGAAACTCTCCCAGCATGCGGAACTGGCAAAAAGCGCACACTGTTCACGGACTTGGTGCTACAGTTGCTTTTGGGGAGGAAGTGCAGTTTTTGGGGGCTTACTTCCTGGTTCCCTAGTAATTCGGGGAAATCAGAAACTACTTACGCCACACAGTTCATCCTGCAGAAACAACTTACGTCACCCTGCCGGGCGATTCTCAGAAACATGATACCTAAACCCTAAACCCTAAACCCTAAACCCTAAACCCTAAACCCTAAACCCTAAACCCTAAACCCTAAAGGACCTAGAGCCCTTCTCTCGTGTAGGAGGGAGACAAGACCAAGACCAAGCTGCCATCATCTTCTCGTAGGCCAGCTCAACCCGCATTTCCTGCGAGGTTTAGGGTTTAGGGTTTAGGGTTTAGGGTTTAGGGCTTAGGGTTTGGGGTATATGGGTTTAGTGTTTAGGGTTCAGGGTTCAGGGTTTACGTAAAGCTCCACCCGCATCTCCTCCGGGGTCTCCAGCATCTGCACCCGGAAAGGCCCCCACTCCGGACTGCGGTTGCACTCCTTGGAAGCATGAAAAGGTTGAAAGGGCTTCTTCTGAGGGCTCAAGTCCCTTACAATAACCAAAGGCTGAGGTTCAGGGGTTCGGAGTTCAGTGGGGGAGTTTGAGAACGAAGGTGTGAGTGACTGCGAGCGGAAGCTCGGAAACTACAAGTGGGCAGAAGTTCTTTCATCTACCACACTTCTCCCTTGGGCCCAGCGCCCCTTCGTCAGCAATTCATCATGAAACCAGGCCAGAGCATGGCCCACAACATGGAATCCTTGCACTTGCAACCCTAAACCCTAAACCCTAACCCCTCAACCCCAAACCCTAAACCCCAAACCCTAAACCCTAAACCCCAAACCCTAAACCCCTGAACCCCTCCGAAACCCCTAAACCCCTAAACCCCTAAACCTCTAAACCCCTAAACCCTTAATCCCCGAAACCCCTAAACCCCTAAACCCTAAACCATGTCCTATTAGGGAACTCAGGGGGTTGTAGTTCAGGGCCGAAGGTGCCAGACCCTAAACCCCAAACCCTAAGCCCCAAACCCCCTTCGTAGAATCGCAAGCCGGGGGGCGGCATCTTCTTCGATGTTGTTTTGATACGCCTTTCGCTGGAAGACCTTGTGCAGGCGTTCAAGGTCTAGGGTTCAGGGTTTTGGTTCTGAGGCATCGGTGAGCACAGCATGATGCTTGAAGTGGCCGCATGACAGTTAGTTGATCGCAGCAGTTGGAAAAGGTTGGGCAAGGGCGGCCACACTTGCAGCAGGAAACACTACATCATGGTGCCCTTGGCTTGCCCAAAATACAAGGCTCCCTAAGATGAACCCTAAACCCAGTGGACTATGAACCCTGAACCCTAAAACCATTCAAGTGAGTTATGAGCCCTAAACCTTTAAACCCTAAACCCACATGTATATGGAACCATCATGTGGAGAACTTGAAATTCCAGCGGTGAGGATAAGCAAGAAGGGTTTAGGGTTGGATGAGGGAACCGCCGAAAAGAGGTGCAGGGTTCAGGGTTTGGATTCAAAACTTACCACCACCTGAGCCTTCAAAAGCTCGCCAATGCATCCACGGAGCTGGGTCGTCTTGGAGCGTTTTCCTGCTGGAGAAGTGTAGCAAGCTTTGGGCCTAGGGGTTCTTGCTAGGTGCGGTGTTCTCTTTTCCCCGGAAAACGGGGCCTGTGAACAATCAGAACCCAATAAGGTACCCCTTACTTTCGGAAACCCTAAACCCTAAACCCTTATAATATGGCAACTGCGCACGTAAGAAAACCCGAAGCCCTCATCCAGAGTCCTCGGCGCGCTCTGGCTTCTGGCTGCATCGAGCAGCACGGCCGCCACACCTTCGAGTGGAGGGTTTAGGGCTTTAGGGCTCAGGGGTTTAGGGCTTAGGGTTGAGGGTTTAGGGTTTAGGGTTTAGGGTTTGGGGTTTGGGGTTTAGGGTTTAGGGTTTAGGGTTCAGGGTAGGGTGAGGGCTTGGACGCTCTGCACACTTCTCTCTAATTAGGCCCCGGACCTGCAAGCCGCCTCTGAGCCTTACATCCTGCATGCCCGAAAGCCCAAATCCTATGACCTCAAAGACTAAACCGCAAGAAGCCGATAAACCCTATAAACGCGAAAAGCCCTACAAACCTGATAACCTCTATAAACCCTATAAGCCTTATATGAACCCCGTAAACCTTATAAACCCTAGAAAGCCGAAGCCCTAAACCCTAAACCCTAAACCCTATAAACCCCCAAAACCTGAACACCCTGAGTGCCAAACTCACTAAAGCGCACTCTGCCAACATCTGGGGCTCGAAGCGACTGGGCTCGTTCTATCTTTTGGGGGTTTTAGGGTTTAGGGTTTAGGGTTTAGGGTTTAGAGTTTAGGGTTTAGGGTTTAGGGTAAATTCCCCCATGCAGCTTCGGGTTTGGCTTGACTGTAGGGTTTAGGGTCCATCGGGAGTCCATGAGTTTAGTTTCGGGTTGAGGGGTCCTCAATTCCAGAATGAGTGCTTTAGGGTTTGGGCTTAGTTTAGGGTTTAGGGTTTAGGGTTTAGGGTTTAGGGTTTAGGGTTTAGGGTTTAGGGTTTAGGGTTTAGGGTTTAGGGTTTAGGGTTTAGGGTTTAGGGTTTAGGGTTTAGGGTTTAGGGTTTAGGGTGTAGAGTGTGGTAATGCCTGAAATCCCGCAACATCCCTCGCATCCCTGCCCAAAGGGGCCTAGCGAGGAAGCTGCGCCACGGCAAAGCGGCCACATGGGAGGCTCTCAGAAGCAGGCACCCAAGTGCAAAGGAATGCTGTCCACACAGCTTCTCAGGTTTTGCCTGGGTTTAGGGTTTAGGGTTTAGGATTTAGGGTTTAGATTTAGAGTTGAGGGTTTGCTTGCCTACGGCCTCACGGCTTGCATGTCCACCTCGAGAGCGCTGGATCCCTTTGGAAAGTGTGCGGCCTTATCATGGTTACCCACAAAGGGACCCTAATTTGGGAAACTACCCATCTGATACAGGAGCTGAATATTTACCAGCATTCTCTCCTTAAAAGTAGGCTTAGGGTATCCCTATAAATTGCAAAACAAGCAATCTGTTCAGTAGGCCTCTGTTCTACGTGACGGCAAGAAGCTGGAGCAAGAGGTCGTGCATCTCTGCCGCTGTTTTGGGGTTGCTTGTAAACGAGGTTACATTTTTTCAGGGGTGGACTTGGGGCCCTACATAATTCAAATTTCTATGGGCTATAGTGGGGACAGAATTCTAAAGGTTCCTCCAGATCACTCCCCGTATAGGCATCTCCATAAGGACTCCTGCTCATCGACTCCTTGTGAGCCGCTTCACTCTTACTATAGGGTTCTTAAACGCGAGGGGTTCATGGGGGGGAGGTACCCCGGGAACCTAGGAAGTCGTAGGGAGTACTAGGGAACCTTGGGTTATATACCCCCCTTGAACCCCCCGGGTTATATACGCTGCCTTGAACCTCCCTCCCTTAAGAACCCGATAATCTCATGCTGCCTCCTGGATGAGCTGGGCCGGGCGGAGCCTGTCAACACAAGCTATAGCGCAACCCGAGGATCCCAGTGTTCACATCACATCGGGAGAGAGCATGACATTCTTTACCCTAAGCCCTAAACCCTAAACCCGAAAGGCGGAGAGGGCCAGAGGGAGGGAGGGAGAGGGAAGAGGGGGGAGATATCGAGGAAGGGACGGGGAGCGAGTGCGCAAGACCTTTTCGCTTCTGCGGCGACAACATGCAACCTTTACAACGTGCGACCAGGACAACGACGGATGGACTTCGTGACCAGCGCTGGATGCAGATGACTCACACGTCTAGATTATGGACGAAGACTTCGTCCACAATCTAGACGTGTGAGGCCATGTGCATGCAGCGCTGCACCAGAACTGCCGCGAAGTGATCTTAATCTAGCTTTCTCGTAGTAATGTTGCAGGGGTTTAGGGTTTAGTTCGGGTTTAGGGTTTGGGGTTTAGGATTTAGGTTTAGCTCCTTATGCAAAGGGGCTTCAAAAACGAAACCCCAAACCCTAGTTGCAGTGAAAAGGTAGCAATCAGATCACAGGGCGGGCCTTCACGCGGCCGTGTCTGGGGCTCATCCAGATTACATGCTTCACACCGTGCCTAAACCCTAAACCCTAAACCTCTGCACTGCCCTTCCTTATCTGATTCACCTCGCGTTGGGATGTTGAGTTCATTCTCTGGCCTTTTCTGCGAAATGGCTCTGTAGCACGCCCAACATGCTGCAGCCCTTGAGCCATAGTCCTTTTTGACACATTGGCAGTTCTTCAAATACCTGTCCAAAAAATGACCAGAAGGCACCTTCTCTCTTTTGCAAGGATTGCCCCCTTAAGGGACTCTATCCCATGGCTCCATCCCTTGCAAGGGCCTTTAGAACAACCCCAAACCCTTCCTAAACCCTAAAACCCCTAAATCCTAAACCCTAAACCCTAAACCCTGAACCCTAAACCCTAAACCGCATGCCCATTCCCAGGGCCACCGTGCGGCTGATAGAGTTTCGGGGCTCAGCCTCTCGACCATCCCCAAGATTCGCAGGAAGCCCATGACTGCTTGATTAGGGGATTGAGGACTTTGGGGCTTGGGGGTTTGGGGGGTTTGGGGGTTGAGGGTTGAGGGTTTAGGGGTTTAGGCTTCAGGGAATCGGGTTTTGTGTTCAGGGTTTGGGGTGTAATTAGGGCATGATGCAAAGTCAGGAGCGCTTGCGGCTTAGGATTTAGGGTTGGGAGGCTTACGGTTTTGGCGCTTGGGGGGCTACCCTAAGCCCATAAAACTAAACCTCTGAATTTAGGATTTAGGGTTGGGAGGCTTAGGATTTATTTAGGGTTTTGCCTGAAACCTAAGCCTTTAAACCTTCCACCTTGGGATGTTCCCCCCTATACTAACAGTCCTTCAGAGGGATTAGAGTACCCCCCTACTTTCATCCCTATTAAGGACTGTTAGGATAAGGCGGAACATCCCCACTTCCCCCCTTCCCAACCCCCCTTTTTTCCTAGCCCTAAACCCTAAACCCTAAACCCTAAACCCTAAGCCCTAAACCCTAAACCCTAAGCCCTAAACCCTAAACCCCCTCTTTTCCGAGCCTAGATCGGGCGCGGCGCAAAATGTCCACCAGCGGCCTTCCTACCACTGCGCAGTAAAACAATCCGCTCACTGCCGGTGGTTATAAGGTCACGCATGCCTCAGCTGCAAGCACTGCACCCTAAACCCTAACCCCTAACCCCTAAACCCTAAACCCTAAACCCTAAACCCTAAACCCTAAACCCTAAACCCTAAACCCTAAACCTGGCCCCTCTTTACCTACAGTGTTATGGGTTATGCCGACCTACTCATTGCTACTAAACTGTAGGTGAAAAGGGTCCCAGGAAGTGCCTAAACCCTAAACCCTAAACCCAAAGCCCCTAGCGAAGGATGCAAGCCCAGACAAAGAGACCCGAACAGGACCTGAAGCCCGAAACCTTGCCAGAACTTGGTC